CGGTGGGCCGCCGTGCTCGCAGATGCGGCGCATGTCGCGCAGCGCCTCGACCAGGCAGCGTGCAAAGTTGGTGGTGGCGTTGTGTTTGGACTCGATGCCAAACTTGAGCAGCTGGGCACCCGCGAGGTAGTTGATGCCATACGACTCGGTGGGATAACCGGTGCCGAAGCCGGTACCGGCGAAGCGGTCGCCTGCACTCAGACCGCTCGTGCTGAGTCGCCACGACTGCGACTCGGCGAAGAGCGGGTCGGAGAACACGGCGGGCGTCTCGCCGTCCTCGGCGCGCAGCAGCAGACGCAGGCCCGTCATGTGGCGGTCGATGCCCTTGCCCGTCGAGCTCTCGCGCGTCTGCGTGTTGTGCGACTTGGTCGCCGCCGTGAGCAGCGCATAGAGCGTCTTGGCATCCTTGCCCTCGCGCACGCCGCGCACAAACTCGTACGCCTCGTCGCTGAACGAGCGGATCACATCGGTACGGCCGTGCTTGAACAGCCGCGTCGACGCCGTCTCGTACGTCGACACCTGCTGCCCGTGCGCCTTGGCGTACGCCAGCTGCAGCGCCATCTGCAGATACGCATCCGGACTGTGCTTGCCCACCTTTTTGATCCAGTCCGCACCGTACTCGTCGTACCAAAGCGTGCGGATGTCCGACTCCTTGGCCGCCTGCAGCGCCGCCACCTCCGATTGCTGGATCGACTTTTGCGTCGACTCGTCCACCGCCCACTCGAGCTTGCTCCACGCCGCACTCTCGTTGGGCGAGCTCAGCTCGGCCGGCACGTTGGTGCCTGGCGGAGGGCACGACTCGGCCGCAGCATAGTCGCACAGGATGCTCGGAATCAACGCATCGCACGGCGAGTGCTCGCCCATGATGCCCGCGCGTCCGTTGGGCTCGACGACGATCGAGAGCGCCTTGTCAAACCATCGGTTGTGGCCACCTCGGCCCGCACCGCTGCAGTTGCGCGCCAGCGCATCCACCCACACGGGCGTAGACTCGTGCGCCGGCGCAGGATGGTCCGCCGAAAGCGCAAGCACGCTCGAGTCGAGCGAAAGGCACAGCAAACTGTCCTCCACCGAGTTGATGCTCTTGCGGTTCACCGGCGAAACGCTCAGCAGGTGCTCGCGTGTCTGTCAAATCATCCAGATTCAGGTCAGCCATGCCAAGCTCTGCAGCTTCACGAGATGACAGCTCTTACCTTGGTCCACGTGTCGCGGTTGTCCGAGCTGAGCACGCCCACGCCCGCGCCATCGCCCTTTTGCGCGTCGGTCACAATGTCCCACAGCGCCTTTTCGAGCGTGTCGATGCCGAGCAGCGTGCCGTCCTTGCGCACCACCTCGAGCTCGTAGTAGTTGTCGCGCGCAATCACCGTGATGTGGCGCGCCACAGCCGGATGCGGCGTCGCCGTGTTCCAGTCGTGTGGAAGCGCCGGGATGCGCGTCACGCCGTACAGTCTGCGAGCCAGACGATTGAACCAGCGGCCTGTCGTGTCAGTCAGGGTGTTCGTCGAAAGGCGCAGAGGGGAAAGGGGAACAGAGTCAGCACGCTGCTCGTCACTCACCGCGTGTACTGGTGCATGCAGAACGGACCGGCACGGGATGAGTCGGGCATGATGTCCTCGCTGCCGTATCATTCCGCGCGCGAGTCCGGGTGGTCAGTGGGAGTGAGGGGGGAGAGAAGGCAAGGAAGAAAGGAGCAAAACAGATCAGCAAGACGCTACAGGCGGCGCGTAACGTGAACGTGAAGACGCGAGGGCACCTACTCGTCGAGACGCTTCTTGAACTGGAGGAAGCGCGAGGTGAGCCAGGCGGCGCGGCGGATGCCCCAAGCTGCGTCGTTCCAGTTTTGCGATCCGAGGCCGGTGACGGGGTAAGCGTCATGGCCGCTGTGCTCTGCTAGGTCGGCGGGCATGTTCTTGTCGTGGGTAAACATGAGCCACCAGTTGCTGTTGACCATGAGCGGCACGCGCCACTCGTGGTACGCCTTTTGCAGCCACCAGCGGTCGTCCAGCCAGTTGTTTTCGGTGGTGCGATCGACGTCGATGAGCCTCTGCTGCAGCTTGGGGCCGAGACCACCGGTGGCGAGGAACTCGCTGATCCACTGCTTTCGCTTGGCGAGCTCCTTTTCGGCCGTGCTGCCTTCGAGCTTGCCTTGCTCCTCGAGCTGTCGCAGGAAGGGCGAGAGCGACTTGAGGTACTTGTCGAACGTCTGCTCCAGCGAGGGCACCGGCAGACGCGGCATGTTCCTCTGCTGGCTGAACGTCTTGGGCTGCGTGCCCGGCGCCCCACGCCAGGGGGTCAGAGCGAACATGGCTGGTGACGAAACGTGGAAGGTGCGCGGCGAAGGAGCGAGACGAGGTGTCGGAACCAGGACACGCTCGTGCGAGGATCGAAGGGGGATGATACGGCCAGTAGAGAGAAGCTGCCGCGTGTGCGTCCGGGGAGTGAAGCAAGAAAGAAAGATAGCCAGTGGTGAGCGACAGGAGGAAAGAGCGAATGACGACGATGAAGACGGCGACGGACTTACCTCGAATCCCTTGCGTTGTCTGCTCAACAACATCAATGCGGCGATCTCGAAGGTGCTCGAGAGCGTGCGACGCTTGCGGATGATACTTGCGGATGGATGCAGGATCTAAACCTGGAAGGGAGGGGAAGATGGAGGAGGGGGAAGGAAGGCGGGTGCACTTTACCGACGGAGCGCAGCGTGTTGGTCTGCTGGGTTGCGTTGACGAGGCGTTGGGCCTGGTTGTGCCGAGCGGGGGATGCGGAGAAGCTTCGTGCGTGCCAAGGGGCTCGTGGAAGCCCGGGTGTGGTTGGTGAGTAGTGCGGAACAGGAGGAAAGGCGGGGGTCGGCAGCGAGATGAACCGGTGTCGATCCGCAGCCCTGAGCCGAACCACACCAGACGCTGCGCAGAGGAGTGCGGGGACAGAGCGCTGCGCTGCGCTAATGCGACCCGCATTTTTCAAAAATACGCACCGAGTCCATCCTCGTCGGTGAACGTGAAAACGGCTCGACCGGTTCCAGCGCTCGCCGACACTTTTCCTTTCGTCGATGCTGTGCGGTCCTCGCAACTTGATGCTTCCTCTCATGTCCGTGTTGGTGCGCTCCGTCCTGAGGGGACTCCACCTTGTTGCTCGCTCTGCCCTCTTGTACTCATTGCCTTTCCGTGCGCAACGCAGCAATGTTGCAACCCCCACCAACACGTTGGCTCGCTCGCTGCATCCTGAGCTCCGTTCGTTTGAGTTACTAGCCGCTGTCATCCCCCAACACCTGCACAGCAATGAGACACAAACATTTGCCGTTCAGAACGACCCCTCCTCTCCCGCGGTCAAAGGTGAGCAATGTTAGACCGTACATGACTCCGCTCCGGTCGTGAGAAAAGCCGTGCGACCAATCACCGCTCATCGATCGCCGGACCTCGCACAAGCTCGCATCCCCAACCCAAACTGTGTCTCAGACCCGCAAACCTCATCCATCCGCCCACTTTGCTCGCTCGTTCGTCGTGCAGGACCGCATACACCTACCAAATCCGCATAGAGCCACATGCATTCAGTCGACCCCATTCCGTCGCATCCCTCTCGTCGGCCCCGCAAGGGGCTTGACATATGATCTAACAAATAAACGATACAGAGAAGATTAGCATTGCCCCAGACTATGGTTGGCATTTCTGCTCAGAAGAGTCGTTTCCTTCGGGAAACATCTATGTTTTTTTGCTTCTCGTTGAGGTGGATGGATGTGAGGCGATGATATGGTGTTGGTACGACGTGGCGGATGGCGGAATTGGGCAGGTGGGACAAAAATCGCGTCGGCCGGGGCGCCAAAGAATTATGAGGAAAAAAAATTGCGGAAAGTGACAGGTGCGCGTGCTCCTCACCCTCCGGCGTCCGAGTTTGTACGGATCGTAGGCAGGAGAGCGGAGCGATACACCGGGTCCATCGCGAGCTCGTGTGCAGATCGGACCGTACCTTCATTGTGGGGGTAGAAGTTGAACCTTTCGACATGGGGCGGCCGCATCTACGGCTGCAGCAGCGATCCTTCAGCGCTCAGCACTGACAACGCATTGTCCTCCGTTAAAATAGAATTGGCGAGCAGACTGTCCCGGTTGATTTGTGAAGGGGAGTCAAGGGCGGAGACATCGGCCGTGGCAAATGGTGCCGAGTGGGCTGCGTCGTGCGTTGCGAGCTGGAGGGCGAAGTGGGCTGTGTGGACTGGGGAACGGGCTGGGATGCGTACTGGGGGGAGGGGTTGGCTGTGGAGCGAACTGCGGCACGATGGGACTGTCGATACAGCCAGTTCGATCGCAAAACCCTCCGTCTGCCGTCGGTCGCCTGCCTTTGAGAGCGGCCTAGCGTCCTCCACATTTCGGAATTCATCACTTCATCACCGTACGAAAACAATACGTTAGCAATCCGACGAGACGCGGAACCCATCGTGCGCTAGACCTTGAGTTTACCTTGCCGACACGCGCTCGAAGTCAGCTTCTGCTTCCGCTTGCACTCCCGCTGCCGCTGCCGCTTCCGCTTCCGCTTC